TAAAAAACGCATCTTCGCACGGGCAGCCCGTGCGTTGGCCATTTATTTCCATTTCGTCAATTTTGTTAAAATTCTGCGTAGTTGTTTGCCTACTCTAGCTGACTTCTGCGCCTGTCTGGTTGAATTTATGCCTTCTGATTCACATTTTTTTCTTTACTAACGGTTTTCTCGCTTCCTTAAGTCTGTAAGTGACGCGCCTCCTCCACGTGCAGGTTCACCACTGTTGTGCATTTGTGTATTCATTTGAAGAAAAGCATATGTGCTAAAGAGTGAGCGATATCACAAAATACAGATAGCGGAGCCTGGTTGGGCCAGAGCGATATGGGTTTTTTTCACCCCTCTTTTATTCTTCCAGAACACATTACTGCCACGATTGGGACAAAATTGAATTACTCTGAGGTCGGATCTTTTACGGTCTCCTCGAAAGTTGATTTTCCGCTTCTGGATTTCCGGGGGGTCTAATCTCATCTCTTATTCTATCTAATGCCTCATGTGAATACGAAAAATAGTCTTGCAAATGATGGGATTTTGTAAAGTAGTGGTAATTCTTTCTTCCCGGATATCTCAGAGTACATTTTGTATGTATCATCCGAAACTTTGATACTCTAAATAATAATTTTAAAGTAGAAAGCGGGAGTGTGTATTTCAGGGCATGGGTCTGACTGTGAGTTCCGGTTATGCTGTGTCACCTCAACATGCAGGTGTTTATCCAGTTCATGAGGCTCTGTACAATTCCTGGCAGTCTGTTTGGAATATTAGCGTAACATCCACGGAAGAATATCCGCATTTTCGACCAGCTTCCTCGCGTCGTGGTTTCATACATCGAAATATATCGGTATTTCGTTGCTTTTGGAAACAAATTATGCGTGCATGTGCAGTTCTTGTTAGCCTTCATTCATTTGTACATGTCTCAAACGTGAGCATACATTGCATGCGAGGTATGGCATACCCTTCAAGACACTGTAGTAGCACTGCGCTTCAAAAATTCTGTTTTTTTGACTGGCATGATAGAAATGGTGGATTTTGTCGTAATTTAATACTTCAGTAATTTTTCTGAAAGAAATTTTACCTTGTAGACAAAATTTTTCATTTTTTATGCAGAATCTTGCATGTGCGTCTGTTTTTTTTTATTGCAAATAACTCCGAAGAAGTCAGTCTTTTCCTGCGTAAGACGCAAGGCTACCTGTTACTTCGGCATGGGATGAAATTTCAAGTAAATGAGAAGTGTGGAGGGAGGTTCAGTCGCGTCTTCGAGCTAGTTTTATCTCCACACGAACTTCTGTCAGAAAAGTTTATCACCCTCACAGATGTTACTCATGTTTAGTTTTCTGTATAACTACTACCGACGCTATGGATCATTTTCAGCACGAGTAAGATGTACACTGCGTGGTGGGGAGTCCACTTTACGTGTTCAGATCTCTCTGGGGTCACAGTCGATCTGGTTTCAAACTTGTGCGTTTTGCGATTCGATGAAATAATGAGAAAAATTCTATTTAAAACCTCTTCCTTCTGATGCGCATCAATCCGTTCAGCGTCTGCTGATGTGCAGCGTTCGTATCGCCGCTTTAAGCCAGTGGGATGCGATTGAGCAGTATTTAAATTTTTGAGACGTAGCCGCGCGACCTCGTAAAATCGGCGGCTTTTAATTTTTATCACTGTGTCGAAACAACAGGTTTTTTGAAATACGTTTTCCAACCATT